ATCCAGGCTAGAATACAGCCTCAACCCACCACAGCCTCGACCCCCTGGCTTCAAACAATCCCTCCTCAGCCTCCCAAGTAGCTGCGACTCTAGACACACCACCATACCCAGCTAATTTTTTTTTATAGAGACAGAGTCTTGCTATGTTGCTCAGGCTGATCTCGAATTCCTGGCATCAAGCATTCCTCTAGTCTTGGCCCCCTAAAGTGCTGGGATTATGAGAGTGAGACACCATGGCCGGCACCCAATGTGGTTTTCTGATCACCAACTCTTAGGGCATCCCTTGTCCCGCCTTACCAGATACATGATACTTGCTACTTTTACTTATGCCTCTCCCCTTAAAAACACCATTTCTGGTCTTTTCCTGGATCTTGTAGACTCTTCACAGTTTCCTCCTCTTCCACCCACTAATAAATATCGAGGTCCATGCTTGGTACAGTGCTCTTTCTCCGATAGGATTCCTATGTGATCCACCCACGCTCATGGTTTCAGCTATGCTGAGTGCTTTCCAATCTCAATCTCTAGCCTGGACTTCTGGATTGTTTTTATAACCTCTGATGGGTATTTCTGCCCACGGTTCCTACAGGTATCTTCAATTTAGCATATCTGAAACACATCGTTCCCCCACCTAGATTCACCTTCTAAATTTTCTAGCTTACCCATGCCTCCTCCATCCACCCAAACTAAGAAATTTTTCAGATTCATCCATGTTGTTGGATGTCGTGCGATCCATTTCCACGACTGCATAGAATTCTTTCCCTCTCTTGATTTATTTCCATTTACCCTCCCACTGCCTTTAGCATAATATTTTTTTAAGGCTAAATATCATCATAATGGTATAATGGCCACAAGAAAATCAAGCAACTCACATATTTGTTTCATATGTAAACTGACAGAAGGAAGGAATAGAGTCACAAACATTTTTTTAAACGGTAATACATGCAAATGAAACAAATTACAAAAGGGTTCAGGGTGAAAATGAAGTTTCTTTCCCTGCGTCTCTGTCTCTCAGTCACACAGTTTCCTTTCCAAAAAAAGAAACTGCTATTGCCAGCTTCTTGTATGTCCTGCCTGAGATATGCACACGTTTGTATGTGTAAGGAATACCCACAAACCTGTGCATTATATACCCTCACACGGGCATAAACACATGTGCATGTGTGCACATGTATTATTCATATTGAAAATTAATTCTGTGCATTCCTTAGCTGAAAGTACAGGATGGTAGATACTGTCTACTTTTGTTCCTTAGCAGTATAATTTGGAGAATTTCCTATCTCATATAATTACTCATGTAAGCTACCTCATTCTTTCTTGTTGACCACATAAGCCTTTTAATTGTACCCATGTTTAACCAGCTGCTCCTGGGAGGCATTTTGGTTGTTTCTAATCTTTTTGATCAATAGGGCTGCATTAATAGCCCTGCAGTTTATCCACGAGAAATATATCCCAGAAGTAGGATTGTTCCGTCAGTGCCTGTGTGTGTTAACTTTTGATATGGCCACATTGCTCTTCACAAAGCCTACCACCAAGCACCTGTTTCTCTGCTCTCTTTATAACCCAGAGTGTCATCCCTGATACTTTCCTGCATTTCGTCACTATAGGATAAAAATGGGCACCTCAATGAAGAATTGCATTTCTCTTTTATGAACTTGAGTGTCTTTTTATATGTTTAAGAGCCGTTTGAATTTCCCTTTGTATGAATTCATGTTCTTTACCTAGTCTCTCTTCAATTTTTTTTTTACGTTAAATATTTGATCTTTTTACCCTGGTGTGTACCAACCAACGCAGCATTGTGGTTGGTGGTGGTTCTGTACGCAAGCTTTCAGAGCTAGCACTGAGAGCATAAGAGGCAAAGCCAAGCTCACTTCCTTTTCCAGATGGCAGTGATCAAAGGACTTGGTGACTGTGGGAACACTCTGGACATCACGTAGCAGGATTTAGAGGTTCTGACAACACAAACACTTACCAGACTTGAGGTGATTTTGAGCCACACATGGCAATTGTTAAGTTTATCTCTAGACACATATAAGGAGGGTTTTGATGGTATACTTTTGTTAGTTAGCTTTCTAGCTTTTAGCTAACGGGCCATATGGTGAAGGTGCATTTTTTGCTGGTAAATTTATATTTCTTCTTTTTCTTTGTCGATATTTCCATTCTAGAAAATGGAGCAAGACGGGTGCATGCCTGTAATCCCTGCTACTTAGGAGGCTGAGGCAGGAGGATTACTTGAGTCCTGGAGTGAGAGACCAACCTGGGCAACATAGTAAAGACGCTGTCTCTAAATAAAAATTTAAAAAGAGAAAATGGGGCAATATTCCTACTTTTTCTGTAAATTTGCCTTGTGGTATGGGTGTTCAATAAGGTCCTCTGTTCCAAGTGGGCACTTAAATGTTTGATTAAAAAGGCCAATTTTGAGATGATAGCTTGAACCCAGGAGTTTGAGAACAGCCTAGGCAACATAGCAAGACTTTGACTCTACAAAGATAAAAAAAAATTATCTGGGCGAGGTGGCACATGCCTGTAGTCCCAGCTACTCAGAAGGCTGAGGCAGAAAGATCACCTGAACCCGGAAGTTTGAGGCTGCAGTGAGCCATGACCATGACACTTGCACTCCAGCCTGGGTGACAGAGTGAGACCCTGACTCAAAAAAAATTAACTAAAATAAAAAGGGACCAGTTCAAGGCATAGGCTTTAGAACAGCATTTCTCAACTCATATTAATAGATGTTCTGTGATTTTTTTAAAAAATGCTTGTGGTCACATTAATTTTGAAAAAGTTGTATTAGATCAAATAAGTTTATTCATTACAAGACTTTTTAGAGCCTTTAATGTACCAGTGACTCCACTGAATGCCCAAGAGAGGGGTGCAGGATGCTGTCTCTTGCAAATATGTTTGACCACAGAACCCTGTTTTCATATGTTTTATGGACTCAATTTGACATACTCCTCGAGCAATTAACTCAAAACTCAGGGAAGAATCAGAAGACATCAGTTGGTCTGAATGTGTTTGAATTAGGGCAAACAAAGATTCTTGACTGGAAATAGGTTATTGATGACTTGACTGCAATCGGATTTCTGAAATTAAATAGAAACACTTCTGGAGTTCAGTTGCAGAGGTAGACATGCCAGCTGTTTCTCTAGGCTCCCTGTGTTGTTGGCAAAGTGTAAAATTAAGAGATCATACTGATTTCTGATAACTCCTTGCTGCTCCTACTTAAGGTCAGAGACCACCCTTGCTGTCTATATCATACAAATCAAAATGGACCAGTGATGAGAGTACAGTGCTGGGACCATATCGAGCTACCTGGCTGGAAGCTTAATTATAAAGCGAATTTATAGAGCCACAAGGGGGACCCAAGGAAGGGTGGGAAAACTCACTAACAAGGCAGCTTATTCTTTCTCCTCAAGTATTCAAGATTTCTATTCCTTATCAGCAGCCTTTCCTCTCTTCTCAAGGAATCTTGTCTGTTTTTCTCCTCAGCCTTTCTGAAAGTTAGAATGGTGGTCTCCGTGGTGTTCTAGATCACCAGTGGCTGGGATGTTCACAGATCATGTGTGAGCTGAAGTAAACCGTTCAAAGCACATGCGTGTGCAAATTGCCCTAAAATAGAATGGATTCGATATTACCCACTAAAGTGTCTTTTTCACCTACTTTCCCTTACATTCCCTCTTTGAATGGAATGAAATGCTCTGATTACATACATTATCACAGGGCCTATGAGTGGTTTGGTAGTCCATTTCCATTTTCCCTTTTGGTAAAATTGCACTTGGGCTACAGAGATGCTAGGAATGATTTCATTTGTAATAACACAACAGTTATGATTGCTTGATGAGTAGCAGTCAAAATGGTGTGAGAAAAATGTTGTCATGGTATTGTGGCTTTCGAAAAATAATCAGGTTAGTTAGTTGCAGTCTTTGGTAGTCAACGCTTGTTCCTCTTAGGATATTATCTACATTTTCTATGGAGTAGGAACGCAGGAAATGAGTCTTTTTAAGAACTGAAACCCAACATTTTCAAAAGTATGTTTTTAGTATTGTCATCATAAGGTGGAGAGTTTAGTAATTCTTTACTTATAAATGTTCTTTCAGTACATATTCTCTTTTTTTTCTTTGTCTTTTTTTTTCCCTTTTATTTTTTGAGTTGGAGCCTCACTCCGTCACCCAGACTGGAGTGCAGCGACACGCTCATGGCCACCGCAGACTCGGCCTGCCGGGCTCTGGCGATCCTTCCGCCTCAGCCTTCCAAGTAGCCAGAACTACAGGCACGTGCTACCATGCCTGGCTAATTTTTTTTGATATATTGTAGAGACGAGGTCTCGCCAAGTTGCCTGGACGGGTCTTGAACCCACAGGCTCAGGCCATCCTCTTGCGTCAGCCTCCCAAAGTGCTGGGATTACAGGCTGAGCCACTGAGCCTGGCCTAGTACAAATTCTTTAGTACATATCTTCAGATATGGTTGTGCCAGGCTAGTTAATTTTCCTTCTCTGCTGGTTTGGTGGGAAGGGATTCTTCAGAGCTTAGTTCACTCACTCTCGTGCGTCACCCAAGGGAAGTTCATCCGGCTTGCAGGTTCATGGAGAGTAAATGCCAAAGAGGTGCTTCCTCGAGTTTCTTCCTCATTGATAGCATCCTTGTCTTGAGCCTTCCTCCTCCAGGCATCAAAGTGTTGGCAGAGAGCTATGAGGAAAGGACTGTTCTAGGCCTCTCTTCCTGGCTTGTAGATGTCCTTTTTCTCCCTGTGACTTCACATTGTCTTCTTTCTATCTCTGTGTCCAAATCTCTCCTTTTAATAAGGGGCATCCATCACATTGGATTTGGATCCTCTCTAATGACCTCACTTTAATTTGATTACGATTGTGATGACCTTGTCCCAAATAAGGTTATATCGTGAGATTTGGTGGGGGTTAGGACTTCAGCATATGAATCTGGAGAGAACACAATTCAACTCATACCATGCTAATTTTCTATTGACAGCTATCTCTCTCTCTTTTTTTAAAGAGTGTACATGGCAAGTCAAAGCAAATGACCGAAAGTACCACGAACAACCTCATTTTATGAGCACAAAGTTCTTTTGCATTAAGGAGAGTAAATATGCGGTAAGTTGATTTTATCTTCCTCAATTATTTTTGTTAAAAACCAATTTTTTCCTGTAGTCAGCATGCTTACACCTGCTTTCCAGGTAATCACTAGCTGGGGGTTATTGATAATCATCTTCGTTTCTACAGAATGTCCTTTTTATTGAAGTTCACCCTTAGTGTGAGTAGGGGTGACATGAAGCAAGACAGAATTATGGATACAGGGGACCCAAAAAAAACCTGGAATTATCTTTTGGAGGGCATGGCTCTTGTAGTACAGACTTTCTGCCCTGGGTAAGTGAACCCATAGGCATCAGTGTACCAGCCAAATGTGAGAAACCGCACTTGGCTTCAGTGAATTTTTTTGTGGCAAACAAGTGACTGGTTCTGCCACGGCAATACACCTGCCCACACTGTACCAGAAATGGTATGACTCCTGCGCCCCCCGCCCCGTTCACCTGATCTCACATCGAATGACTGTTTTTGTTTCCCTGGCTGAAAAAAGGCCTCAAAGGGAAACATTTTGCCAATGTGGAAGAGGTGAGACAAAAAAAATAGTAGAAACACTAACAGGCATCAAAATCGATGAGTTCCAAAACTGTTTTGAGCAGCGGAAAAAGCACCTCCATAGATGTATTGCATCAAATGAAGAGTACTTTGAAGGTGCCTGATGTTTAAACATGTGAGAATAAATATACAATTTTTGTACATAAATTCTGGAGGTTTATTGGGTCCCCCATCATAGATAAGAAATTTCCATATGTGGGTGCAAAGTTCTCTTTAAAATGTTTTATGAAAGAATATACAGCAGTATCACAGAAACCTTATGTTTGAAAAAATGAGTTTTAAAGGAATCTTTTTTTTCTTTCTTCTTTTTTGTGAAAGGAATCTAATAACTTAGCTTTCCCTTGTTTGCCTGGGGTGGATTTAGAGATTTTAAAGATATTTTCATCTCAGTAATGCCTATTGCCTTTGAAATATATAAAGAGCACCTGTTAAGTGAGGGCTTAAATGCCATAAGGTGTTTGTTTCAGTTTCCTACGGCTGCCATAACAAAGGACCCTAACTCAGTGGCCTAAAACACCAAAAGTTTATTCTTTCACAATTCAGGGGGCCAGAAGCTTGAAACCAAAGCACTGTCGAGGTTGTTCCCTTCTGAAGGATTGGAGGAAAAGTCTACTCCATGCCTCTCCCCCGACTTATGGTGGTTACTGGGCATCTTTGGTGTTCCATGGCTTGGAGACACATCCTTCAATCTCTGCCTCTGTCTTCATGGGGCCTTCTTCCTGTATGTCTCTGTCCAACTTTCCTCTCCTTATAAGGACACCAGTCCTTGGATTGAGGCCACCCTCATCATGTGTGACTTCATCTTGTTCGTATCTGCAAAGACCCTATTTCCAAATAAGATCCCAGTATCAGGGTTAGGACCTGAACATATGTTTTGGGAGACAGTTCAACCCACAACAAGGTCTTTGACTCTTTCTTACATAGAAGCTTTCGTCCTCTCTTAGATAAGAGTGTTTCTCTTCCTGCTTTGCCAGGTTGGTGTCTACCTTTGCCCTGTTCTCTAGCAGGCTCTGTGGATCAGGGACTCTAACAGCAGGATTCAGGTGATCACAATCTAATGTTTGTATCTTGTTACTGTCTCTGATGAGCCCAGGCAGCCATTTTGGAGACTTGGCAAGAATTAAAACCTAAAAAGAAACCTCAATACCTTCATTTCTGTTTGTTTGGTTTTTTCCTTTTTAAAATTTTTTTCTTAATTACGGAGTTGTGTGGTATAGGTGAGGATTAACTACATAAGTAGGCTGCATGCAGGTGAAGTTTGGGCTTCTAACTGGCCCTCACTCCCCGGGTGGTGGACCAGGTACCATTTATGTTGTCAATATCTTTTCGACTGACAAATTGCATTCCTGTGTCTCTGTAGGCCATGGGCCTTTGCAGATGTGTATACGTTGTGATGATTATGTGGCATCATTTAGAGTGACTTTCTTATGTTTTCCAACAGAGTAATGCAATTAAAACATACAAGTACAACGCTTTTACCTTTCTACCAATGAATTTGTTTGAGCAGTTTAAGAGAGCAGCCAACTTCTATTTCCTGATCCTTCTTATCTTACAGGTAATGCCCTTTGATATCCTAAATCTGTTTTGAGTCATGATGACTCAGTAACATTGAAGCTGCAGACACATATGATGTGAATAATCCTGAAAGTGCTTCAGCATCAGGGTTCTGAACAGTGTTACATGAACAGTGAGAGGGAGTAAACAAAAATATTCTAATTCTGGGTTCTAAAAATTCAATGTCATACTGATGTGGGTGTTAAAACACGTTGCCCTGCAGTAAATAAAATCCTCACTTTGTAAAATTATGTGTTCCTTAAAAATCAAACCTGAATTTGTGTTTGTCCTTTATTTTTGTATTTAGATGCTTAATTTCTTCAAGAAGATTATTGATTTTTATTAATATGTTGGTCATAAATCTCAATAAATTATCTTTGTGAACTAGTTTTACATTAGAAAAATTTTTCTAGCTGGGCTCGGTGGCTCAGCCTGTAATCCCATGCTTTGAGAGGCTGAGGTGAGTGGGTTGCCTGAGCCCTCAGGTTCGAGACCCGCCTGAGCAACTTGGCAAGACCTCATCTCTACAATAAATCAAAAAACTAGCCGGATGTGGTAGCGCGCACCTGTAGTTCCAGCTAGTTGGAAGGCTGAGGCGGAAGGATCGCCAGAGACCAGCAGGCGAGGTTGCGGTAACCGGGAGCGGCCACTGCACTCCAGTCTGGGTGACAGAGTGAGACTCCAACTCAAAAAAAACCAAAAAGAAAAAGAAAAATTTTTCTAATTTTTTTTCTTAATTCTGGCAAAGGATTTGCTTACCTGGAGAGCATGATGTTTAACTGTCTGGGAACCATGGCTGTAACTAAGAGAACTCAACATATGCTAGTTAGTACCCAGAATCAACCTGCCATGTAGGTTACCAAGGATAGCATATCCACTTGGCTTTATCAGATCCTTCACATCAAGCCTTGGATTGGGAAAACATTCCTGTCTGCTGGGATTTGCCTTCTAAGGTTTTCTAAAAATGGTGGCATGTGTGTCTGGGTGTGGGGTTCAAGGATGCATAGAGTGGAGAGGAGAGAAAAAGGAGAGAACACACTGGGAGAAGTGGCTACTTAACAGTTTTAGTAAAATATGAAACTGCTGACTTGATAGAAATGGATGTTCCGGCTGTCAAAGAGGACGTTTAGGCAGGCGTGTGTAGAAGTCAATATGATAAATTATAAGGTGCCACTGGGTGGTAAATGGGATACTTTTCTCTTCCTTCTAGCTGGGAGAGGGGAGTTTCACATATTCACGGCATTGTGGGAAGATGTGATTTTTCTCTCTTCCAGCCACAGCTTAGTGATCTTCTCTTAAGGTGCAGCAGTCAAAATCAGGGTAACAGTAATAGTCTTAGTCAATCCTTTGCTTGCATGGTCACTTCACTTGATTCTTGCACTCTATGAGGGCAGTGGGGCATAATCTCCATTTTGCAGAGAAGAACCATGGCCTTGTGAGCTAAATTTGCTCCAAGACCCAAAGCCCATAAATAGCCCAACTGGCCAAGATTGGAGCCAGGAGTTTGATGCTGAAGCCTATCATTTTGGCCACTACATTATATGGCCCAATGAGCAATAGGATGGTTACAAAAGGTCTTTATTAAGCTTGCTTCCCAATCTTTCAATCAAACTTGGAGGTTATCTTAATGGAGGTGGGGCTTCCTGCAAGACCAGCCCCTTTCTTGGCTGGAACAGTAGCAGTGACCACAAAGGAAACACATTCCTCGAATGTCCCCAAAGATACCCCACCTAATCACTAGTTTTCGGAGGTAGCCACTGTCTCCTGCCATCTTTGCCTCCAACATGAGAGCCTCAGCAATCACTGGCTAAGAAATCTGCCATGCAGATCTTACTATATACGCATTCCCTAAAATTAAAGGGCCGCTTTCCCCACGCCACCCTCCTTGAAGTTAATTGTGATTTTCACAAAAAGTTTAAGGGAGTTCTCTTTTTAGGTATGATGTGGCAAAACCTCCTTGGTCCAGTTAAGGTCACAGTGAGATCATTTCAGGAATCACTGTCCTCTGGGCTCTGCCAGAAGCTAGGAAGAGCTACCAGAAGGAGATTGACCGGTTGCTTAAATATCTTTTCCTACACACCCCGCAAGATGTAAACTTGTGTGATGACAGGGCTTAGACTTGGAATTAGAAAGCCGAGAGTTAGCCACCAGTCACCTGTAAACTCGGTATGCCTTCATGGGCGCCTCGGTAAACCTTTTTGTGCTTTTAGGCGATTCCCCAAATCTCCACCTTGGCATGGTATACCACGCTTGTGCCCCTGCTTCTGGTGCTGGGCATCACTGCAATCAAAGACCTGGTGGACGATGTGGTAAGGATTGCTCATGCAGTGGCTTTGAGTTTCTTTTAGTTTGGCATTCATGCGTTATGTATCAAGATGTTTAAAACAGCATTTCCCCATCTCCCTTCTCAAGGCTCGCCATAAAATGGATAAGGAAATCAACAACAGGACCTGTGAAGTCATCAAGGATGGCAGGTACCGTGCCTTCCTTAATTTGTGACTCAGTTACGAGGATGTACTGCATAACTATGTCTACAGACATGTTTAGAGAGAACTATTAGAACACAGAAGTCTATTAGTGCATTGAATTTTTTATTTTAAAGGCTTCTCTTACAAAGACATTGTATCACCTTTATGGCCCCAAAGCTATACCTGCATTGGACAATGGACCGTTGCCTGATTGAGGTTTGTATCGTCAGGCCATTTTGCATTTACACACCTCCTTCAACCTCCCACACTTATCCTGTCCAGGATTTTGGTCACATATCCTAACACCTTTCCTGAGATTCTCCAGCTGAAGTGGTTTTCTCCCTTTCCTGTACTTTCAGAGCTTCTTTGTTTTCAACTTTCTTACCATATATGATCTTTTTAAGAAATATTTGTGTAGGTATCTCATTTTCTGTTCCAGATTATAAGTTTCTCAAGGCCACTGCCCCACCTCCAACACACAGAAAGTATTCAATAAATGTATGTTAAATTAATGTAGTCAGTTGTGACCAAATTACCAACTCAGTGATCAGTAATGAGTTGTTTTTTGAGCAAGAGCCTAAGGCAGAACTGCAAATTCAAGAGCTAAAAATAGTAACTAAAGTCCAATGCAAAGACTTTTAATGTGTCAACATTGAGGAAAATAATCTGATTTACAGCCATTCTTCCACTGTGTCTAATTCAAAAATAGACTTCACTAAGCTAAAAATATGTTTAGATGGCATTTTCCTTTTGCAAATAAGTAGATTCTGTTCCAAAAGTTACCTTTGAAATGTCAAAAGATAAAGCCACAACAATTTAAAGATCTTAATTGACTTTATTTGTGAACTTAAGATCAGGCAATGCTTCATTTCGTAAAATAAAATTAGTGCCCGAGGGAGTCCAAAAGAAGAGGTTAGTTTATAGACAGAGAAGGGCTAAAGAAAGCAGAAACAGAAAACAAAAAGCATATTGGTCATTTCAAAGTATCCCTGTCAGGCGGGAACAGGAAAACAGAACAATAGAGGGATAACTGATTGGTTAACTTCAGTTTACTTTTTGGTACCGATTAAAGCAGAGGTAACTTTATCATCATGCCAACTGAAACTAACCTGTTTGGGAAATTTGACTATTATCTCTTTCTCTTCTGATTTCTCAGATGGTCAGATAATAACTCAATTTTGGTTTGGTGTGAGTCTATATTGGTTTTTAGTATGGTCTGTTAGGATCTGGCACAGGAGCGCAGTTTAAAACAGTGGTCTTCTGTAGTTTGTATTTAACACAAATCACTTAGAATCAATGTTGTGAATGATGGTGAGGTTTCTCTCTAAACCTCACTAAACACAACCCTGTTTAGCCCATAACGTAGCTAACTACACTGGTAAAAAGTAGCTCTCAGTTAACTTGAATTTGGGAGTCAAGGGTGCATATCTGGCAGAGCTGTGACCCCAGCAGCCCCTGTAGTGGGGTCGAGCCTGTAAGAACTTGGACATCAGTGGGATAGGGCACAGGGGTCTCCTTGGGGGACACTGAAACATCAAATAAAAGAATCCAGTAGAATTGCCTCTGATATTCCCAAAGTGCAGCAACAAGAAGGTGCTAACTTGTGTGTTTGTAGTTGAGACTCACATGCAAATTTCTAATTTACAATTTTTGATATACTGAAATGTAAAATAATACAAATTTTATTTATTGAAGGATAAACCAAGTTTTAAAAAATTCTGGGCTTAAGAATTGTGTACTAAATTCTCGTAAAATTAGGGAAACTAGAGCATAAGCATATATTTAAAATTTATTTTAAATCTCCAGATCTTTTTTTAAATTCATAAATGAATAGGAGACAAACATAGTAAATCGATTTCAGCCTCAAAAAAAAAAATTAATTTTGCTATAGTCAATTCAGCATGTCCCTTATGTGTATCTTTCATATATGTGAAAAATCTTTAAAACAGCGCCATAGTTGAACACTTGACAAAATGCTGATTTGTTAAAAATTTAAATGGGTATTTGCAATGGAATTTCATTCCAAAACAGTCACATTTTCATTTTATTTTGTCACTGCCATTAGATGTATTACAAAAGTGGTACATATAATTATTCGAAAGATAACGTAAACAAATAGGGTAAAGACAAGCTCTAACACCCCAGGATTCTAATGGCCCGTGGGAGCCATGATGGGTTCCTCTCCTGGGACCAGCACGGGGCAAGTGATGGGAAACTGAGAAGGAAAAGAACAGCGATCCCCACGACCACTTCCTCATATAACGTAGGCAGAAGGAGCATGTCAAAGTTGTCTCCACCATCATTCCTTCCCTCACATGATAAGACGATTCTTGTGCCCGCTTCATGTGTTTATATCATTAAAGGGTGGACTTTTAGTCAACACTTCCCCTGTGATTTACACGTTTTCCAGAATCTTTGACACCCAGAAAGAATAACGAGTCTTTCCCTGCAACTGAAAGAAACAATAGACCATCAGTGTGTTTAATCCTTAGGTTCAAAGTTGCCAAGTGGAAAGAAATTCAAGTTGGAGATGTCATTCGTCTGAAAAAAAACGATTTTATTCCAGTAAGTGAACAAGCTCTGTTTCTCTCACTCCTTGTTCTTCCCCTGGACCCCAAGCTCGGTTTCTCCCTGGGAGTCTCTGTGTTACTCGTGTGTTTTGTTTTGAACAGGCTGACATCCTGCTGCTGTCCAGCTCTGAGCCTAACAGCCTCTGCTATGTGGAAACAGCAGAGCTGGATGGGTAAGTGTGTCTTCGTTGTGCCTGTCTGAAAGCTGGTCTTTGAAAGCGGATTTATTACATTAAGGTCTGCCCTTGCCTCTACCGCTTGGCTGCCTGTCCACCAGTGTCCCTGGGAACTGATCTCTTTTTCCGCCCCCATCCTTAAAGTGAAGCTCTTACTAAACCCTTTCCCTATCTTTCAGGGAAGGTAAACGAATCAAATGGGGGTGTGTGTGTCTGAGCCCTTTAGGAACTGCTGAGCAGTATACAGACTAATGTGAATGGCTGCTGATAGTATTATCTGATTCAGAGAAAAGAACAGATTTTTGAAGTTTTTGCCAATAGGCAAATTTGAATTGTCCCTTTGTTGGTTGCAATTATTGTACTATCACTGGAAAGGGAGGAAAGTTCTATTTGTGATCAGTCTTAAGTGCATTATTTGAGCGCTTACAAGGTTGCAGGCACTTTCTGTGTGAGTCTACTTAATCCTCTCAGCGACCCTGTGGCATGAGTATTATTAACTTTGCATCACCCATGAGGGAACGGAGGCCCAGGGAGGTGTAGCAGCCTGCCCAAGGGCACACAGTAAGTGGCCGAGTTGGGAACCTGCTCCCTTGAAGTTCTTGATCCTCAGAACTTACATGTGTACGCACTGCTTCATGGAGAGCTGAAACCACGTGAGTGAAAACCAGGTCCGTCTTTCCTCCATGAATCAGTCAGTTGACTTTTCAGTCTTAAGTATAAAATGGCTGCCCTTCCCATGAGTGAGAGATTCCAAAGCTTTACAGAGATACAAAACCCTAACGTGCCCTGTTAGGTCACAGTGGTGAAGTTGAGAACCAATGGTCAACTTTCTACTACATGGAAATTCCCATTTGGGGCATTTGGGAAGCCTGTAACGGCTGTCCGTTGTGAGATGACGTCCTTGCTGTTGAGAGCATGTACTCCTGGCCTGACCCTGTGCAGGTACCTTGCCTTGTACCGTGTGGGTAGGTGTGCCAAGTTTTGCGAGTGACGCTACCACCTTCTTTCCCGAATAAAAGTATCCGAAACACGTGATCCAGTTATTCACTCTAGAAAATGAAAAGTTGACAGAGGCTAAGCAGAATTTCTCTAATAAATGCTATATAGAAGCATCTTAGTGTGATAAAATATCAGGAGCTACATTTTTAAACAGTAGGTTGATAGTCCCAGCTGGTAGTAAAGTGTTAAGTGAATGAGGCCTGTGAGTGAGTACCTCTGTCCTAACCTTCACAACAGCAAACAGTAAAGGGGACCGACATTTCCCAAGGGCAGGAACTTTCTCTCGTTCAAGTGATAACTTTTATCCAAACCTGAGGTTCCAAGGTGAAAAGAGAGGTTGAAAATAGAAAAAGCGGCCGGGCTCGGTGGCTCAGCCTGTAATCTCAGCACTTTGGGTGGCCGAGGTGAATGGATTGTCTGAGTCTGCGGGTTCAAGACCAGCCCGGGCAACTTGGTGAGACCTAGTCTCTACGATAAATCAAAAATTAGCCAGGCGTGGTAGCGCGCACCTGTAGTTCCGGCTACTCGGAAGGCTGAGGCGGAAGGATCGCCGGAGCCCAGCAGGTCGAGGCTGCGGTGGCCGGGAGCGGCCGCTGCACTCCAGTCTGGGTGACAGAGTGAGACTCCAACTCAAAAAAAAAGAAAATAGAAAAAGCAAATTCATTTCCAGGTATGCCTAACCTCACACTTGTGTGATTATGTTCCCTTTAAAACTCCAACATTTATTCATTTAATTCTTTTTCTGCCTTCTCTTTAGAGAAACCAACTTGAAGTTCAAAATGGCCCTTGAAATCACAGACCAGTATCTCCAAAGAGAAGACACATTGGCAACATTTGATGGTTTGTACAAAGCAAACCTTGCTTTGTTTTAAATGTTAGTTAGTCGATTCAGTTCCTGTTGGTTATTTGTTTTTGTGGGATTTTTTTGTTTTTTGTTTTGAGATGGGGTCTTGTTAGGTTGTCCAGGCTCAACTTGAACTCCTGGGCTCACGTGTTCCTCCCACTTCAGTCTCCAGAGTAGCTGGGACGACAGGCACACGGCTCCGCCCCCTTGGTTCTGGTCCAATGGATTAAAACCAGAAAATCTTTCATATGCGGCTAATTATGTGAATCTTATCTTTTTTTAAAGGTTTTATTGAATGTGAAGAACCCAATAACCGACTAGATAAGTTTACAGGAACACTATTTTGGAGGAAAACAAGTTTTCCTTTAGACGCTGATAAAATTTTGTTACGTGGCTGTGTAATTAGGAACACTGATGTCTGCCATGGACTGGTCATTTTTGCAGGTACTTTCAGAGTTTCTTGAGAGACTGATCTGCTGTGAGCTTTAAAGATTTAAAGCAGGGGATTGCTTTTCTGTCCTTTCTTCATCAAAACCAAAGGAAGAGTAATTCTATTGATGTGGCAGTGCATTGATTTTTCCCAATTGCTGATCATATCGAATTTTCCATTTCTAGGTGCTGACACGAAAATAATGAAGAATAGTGGAAAAACCAGATTTAAAAGAACTAAAATTGATTACTTGATGAACTACATGGTTTACACGGTATTTATTTTCCATCTTACCAGATGAGAGGCCAGACTGCTGTCTTTTGCTAATTTTGTTATATGTTTTTCTAATACAAAGAAACCTTACCTTTTTAAACAGAACAGAAAAATGTTTGGGCAGTCCAAGCTTCAAATGCAAGAAGAAGGAATTCCCTCTGTTTTTCTCAGAAATGCCACACTTTTAACAGAAGCATCCCCTTGGGAAGGGAAATTTCAGTTGTAGGGTGCTCTGAGTGTTTTGATGACTGGAGTGGCCAGTTGGAAAAAAACCAGTTGGAAGCATATGCCCAACATATCCTATATAAATCCAGATACAAGGCAAGGCTAAAAAGGAGGTGCATCAAGGGTCCCCAAGGTCACTCCCAGGTTCGATGACTCACTAGGAGGACTCTTAGGACTCGACGTACAGTTGTACTCATGGCTATGACTTCTTATAGCAAAAAGGAGATGCAAAGCAAGATCAGCAAAAGACAGGGCAAAATCCAGGGGAAATCTGGCACAAGCTTCCAAGAATCTTCTTCCAATGGAGTCACATACACAACAGGCACTCAATTCCCCCAGTAACAATTGATGACGGCACATATGAAATATTGTCTACACCAGGGAAGTTCATTGGAGACTCTGTGTCCAGGGTTTTTAACTGGGGGCTGGTCATGTAAGCACCATTTGTCTGGTATGTATCAAAATTCCAGACTCCCCAAAAGAGTGTGGGTGGTCAGCATACACTGTACTGTCTATGCAAACACACAATGGGTAGATGGGACTACAGACACGTGCTACCGAGGCTGAGTTATTCTTATCAGAGAATAAGGAATAAGCAATCAGGAACCCCTCCCCAAATCTGAGTTCCCAGATGCCAGCCGAGGGCCATCCTGGCAAGCAGGCCTTCTAAGGAAACAGCCTCTTGCCTGCTGTGTTAACGCTTTTCTGCCCATAGAGTGACCCCAAATATTAAACAGTCCTTCAATTTCCCACTGAAAACTTTTTTTCAAATGTTTAGTTCAATTTGAATGCATACTTCTAACACATAAATTATGATGGCATATACACATTTAAACTAATATAAAAGTAATTATTAATTCTAAGAAGCTCTTTTTCCCCCTCTCCTTGCCTTTCATGAAAATTTTATTTGAACTTTTTACACTTTTCTTCAGTGTCACCGATGCGGTTTTGAGCACAGCACTCACAGAAATGCCATCAGCTCTCTTCTGGGCCAAGTTATTTTGAGATGTATCACTTTTGGAATCTGTGTCCAGAAATTTAAATTTGTCTCTGAAAAGTTTATTCCCACTTGCAAATCTCCAAATACCAGTAGGACAGTTGACTTTTTCCTCATCCCATAAATATATACTCATAACTTCCACAACATAATGCTTATTCCAGTGCTTCTTAAGTGATCTTGTTTACAATCTCATGCAACCCTTGTGATATTATACCTTCAGAAATAATGACCCAAATATGGGTGAAATGTCCTTGCCTTAAAAAAAAAAAAAATTTCTCTCAAACGTTTTCTGTAAGCCTCCCAATTCAACACTGTTTTCAGTTGTTTCACAATAAGGTAAGATCTCTTTCCCAAACAGTATGTTATTGTTCAAAGTAAAAGTAATTGAGAGAATATCCTGTAATACGAGACTCTTTAAAGATCTGAATATAAGGCATCACCATTCCTTTTCTTTTTCTTTTTTTCTTTTGAAAGAGGGATTGTTTTATTTTATTTTATTTTTTTATTATAGGACTTTTAAAAATATATTTTTTTATTTTAAAATCGGGTTAGGTATACAAATATACATTGTGCAGGTACCCTTGTTGATGTGGTGTGCCCCCCTTTCCCCAGACAGATATTGACTACCATTAATCCCACCTCCCTTCCCCTCCCTGCCCACGCCATAGTTTCCCGTCACTGTCAATCCTTTTCTTATAGTATTACAGTAGTGGTTCAAGGTCCACTTATGAGTGAGAACATGCGATGCTCAGATCTTTGTTTTGTGAGAGATCACTCAGTATTATAAACTCTAATTCCATCCAGGTTGCTGCAAAGTTCATGATTTTGGGAACAAAACCTCACTTGATATGTGAGATGTGGGATATATTATTCAATCATAGCAATCCAATAGATTTTCAAAGCATTCTTATGACACTGTTTTTATTTTAAGTGTATTATTTTTGCAGACTACCAAATTATAAACATAAAGTGCTGAGTAAGGTTAATTAACATCTATACAATGCACAAGGGTTAGAAATCCATCTTCGGAATTCTTTGAAATGTTTCCTGTCCTCTAGATCTTTGTTGTCCTGATTCTGCTATCTGCTGGTCTTGCCATTGGCCATGCTTATTGGGAAGCTCAAGTTGGCAATTATTCTTGGTACCTCTATGATGGAGAAGACGCTACACCCTCCTACCGTGGATTCCTCAATTTCTGGGGCTACATCATCGTCCTTAACACCATGGTGCCCATCTCTCTCTATGTCAGGTAAGGTTGTCCTCTTGGCCCTTTTGCTTTAAGGGAAGAATGTAGCACCTTTTCCCCATGCAGCGCCTTCATTTCTGGCAAGAATTGTTTCAAAGGTCACAAGGAACTAGTAAGAAAATAACCTTCATTTCAGAATTGAGGGCAATAGAGGAGAAGGAAATTAACATTCGAGTATCGCCTCTGTGCCAGGCACCTTCTATCTCGTCCTCTGTGCAGATAAGGCGACTAAAGTTCCAAGGTCGAACGCCACTCCTGCAGTCATTCGCTTGATGAGATTCCATCTTAGTGGGTTCCAACGTCCAGGCTGCAGAAAGAGTCTGGGAGAAGGGGAAGATTTAGAATGTCATGGAAAAAACATGGCTTTCTATTTCAGGAGTGTCCTCACCTCTTATCTGATCTTCTTTATCACCATCTGCCACACCCATTGTGGAAAACTCTCTGTGCCTTCTGGCCACTACTGTACCTCCTGTATCTGCAAGTGGAAAGAGGTTCCTTGCCCTCCTTCTGCTCCTCAAAATGTTCTGTTTCTCATTTTTTTGGTTTTGTTTTGAGTCAGAGTCTCACTCTGTCGCCCACGCTCATAGCCACTGCAGCCTCGACCTGCTGGGCTCAGGCCATCTTTCTGCCTCAACCTCCCAAGAAGCTGGAACCACAGGCATGAACCACCATGCCTGGCTGATTTTTTGACTTATTGCAGAGACTTTTTTTATTTTCCAAGTTGGAGTCTCACTCAGGAGTCACCCAGGCTGGAGTGTAGTGGCATGCTCGCAGCCACCGCAGCCTTGACCTGCTGGGTTTTGGCGATCCTTCTGCCTCAGCCTTCTACAGGTGTGCGCCACCATGCCTGGCTAATTTTTCTTGATTTATTGTAGAGACGAGGTCTCGCCATGTTGCTCAGGCTGGTCTTGAACCCCTGAACTCAGGCAATCCTCTCACCTCTGCCTCCCAAAGTGTTGGGATTAAAGGCGTGAACCACCACTCCCAGCTCTGTTTCTCATTTCAATCTTAGTGACAACAAAGTCAGGGTCATATCTCTGACAAGTGCCAGTCACCTCACTTGGTGATACTTCTTCCTTTTTAACTTTTTCTTTCTTTAATATCAAAGTCCGTTGCCCCTGGTCAGTTGGATTTGAGACCCTTGAGGGAAGGATTGTGCCTTGGAATACACACAGCGGCCAAAGTCTGTTCTTAGTTCTGGAAGCATAGGGATCACATACACACCTAGAATTAGAGGCATTTATTTTATTCTAATTTTATTATATGTGCATTTATTTTAATTTTATTACCTGTAGTTCTTTTACCATAAAGGAAAGCCCTGAAGTCACCATCTATTCTGCAGCTACTTTGAAAAACACTGAGACGAGTGCTACCTTTATTAAGGGAATGATTACAAAGATTATTTTGCTTAAAACAATTGATATATTATAAAATAAACTTATATGTAGATTGGGGTTAAGAGAAAGCTGTGTGATATGACAAATATGATTTATTTATTTCTCTTGGAAATAAAGGACCTTTGAAAGCATGTTGGATCCATTCACTCCAGGTAGTATCTCTGCTTTGTCTTCAGCCCTATGATAGCTTTCCATCTCGTTCAGAATAAATGCACTGAGGCTGCACCATCACCCACAAGCCCTAGTGGATCTGCACCTCCTACCTCCCTGGGCTCTCGCCACGCTAGCCCCTGGATATTCCTCCCGACACAGGGCTTTTGTACCTAGTCTATGTCTGCCTGGAGCATCCTTCCCTGGATATCTGTGTGCTGTCCTTCTACTCCCTGTAGGCCCCTACTTGGGCATCACCTTCTCACCCTGGGCTTTCCTGACCCCCTGTATTCGAATCTTCCCTTCCCGCCTTCATCTCCATTTCCCCTGGCCCTGCTCTGATTTTCTGCAAAGAACTTTCACCTCTTGCTGTAGTCTCCATTTACTGGTTTATCTCTTTGACTTATGGGTCATCTCCTTAAAAACCCAGATTTGGTTTTGTTTACTGATATGTCCCCTATACCTAGAGTAATGTCTGGTACCCTGTAAGCATTCGGGAAACATTTATGGAAGGGGAGAAGGGAAGGAGGGAGGGGGAAAGTTATTTTTCCACCTGTTTTCCTTGTTATCAAGACATTCTTTTCACTTCCTTTCATTTCTTTTCTTTTCACTTCCTTTCATTTCTTTTCTTTTCACTTCCTTTCATTTCTTTTCCTTTCCTTTCTTTTCATTCATTGCATTTCATTTTTCATTTCAAGAAAAAATAAAAAATAAAAAGACATTTGTTGCCCATTTAATGACTGCTAGATATGCAAACAGCTTCCTTATGAAGGAGATATATAAGTCCTTTATAGTTTTAAGACTGAGATGATCCTTTTAGAATATTTTATTTTGGACCTTATATAACCTTGTAAGAATTTAGGGAAAAAATTATATGCTTTTCACAGTATGGAATTTTGCCAAAGCCTTTGCCCTCTCTGAGAGCACAGTGGAGTCTGTAACTTAGTGGACCCTCACCCCCATGCCTACCATAGGGGCAAAGGTGAAACAGTCATTCCAGTTGCCTCTGGAAGAAAAGAGAAGGACTTGCTGCGTCCTTTGACTCTTCTGCAGTGTTACTGTCACCCGTTCTGCTGGCCGTGTGTTCTGAACATAGGATGCCATGGCTAGATGTGCTCAGGAGTGGGCGGGAAATCACACTGAGCAAGGTGCTTTGAGGAAAAATGACAGATCTAAAATCAGCTTGACTCTGAAGCTGGAGAATGAAGCGTTTGGCCGGGAAAACCCAAAGGCTGAGCGCATGGGCCATAGCGTGGTTCATCTCCTCATAGAGGTCTCATTTTGGGCTGCTCTACCCAGGACCTTCGACTGGGTAACTCACAGAAACATATCGCTCACAGTTCTGGAGGCTGAGAAGTCCGAGTTCAGAGCATCAGCAGATTCATTGTCTGGTGATGGCCCGCTCTCTGCTTCATCAAGAGTGACTTCTAGCTGTGTCCTCCCATGGCAGAAGAGACAAGCAAGCTCCCTTGGGTCTCTTTGCTGTTTTTTGTTTGTTTGTTTGTTTGTTGAGTTGGAGTCTAACTCTGTTGCCCAGACTGGAGTGCAGTGGCACACTCATGGCCACCCCTGTGTTGACCTGCTGGGCTCCGGCGATCCTTCCGCCTCAGCCTTCCAAGTAGCCGGAACTACAGGCATGTTTTGATTTATTGTAGAGACAAGGTCTCACCAAGTTGCCTGGGCTGGTCTCAAACCCGCAGGCTCCCAAAGTGTTGGAATTACAGGCTGAGCCACCGAGCCTGGCCCTTGGGTCTCTTTGTTAAGGGCACTAGCCCGTTCGTGAGGGTGGATCCCTCTTGACCTAATCACCCCTTAAAGGCCCTGCCTCAGTACTGTTACACGGGCATTGGATGTCAACATATGAATGTTAGGGAGATACTTACATTCAGACTCTAGCAGTAGATAAGCATCTTTCTCCTTTCTGCACAAGTAAGGATGAAAGCTTTTACTTGCCGCTTGTATCTGAGCTCTCTAGGGAAAAATCCTCTCTTGTCTCTCTAGCGTGGAAGTAATTCGTCTTGGACAGAGTCACTTCATCAACTGGGACCTGCAGATGTACTATTCTGAGAAGGACACACCAGCAAAGGCTAGAACCACTACGCTGAATGAGCAGCTTGGGCAGATTCATTACATCTTCTCTGATAAGACGGGAACACTGACACAAAATATCATGACCTTTAAAAAGTGTTGCATCAATGGGCAGATTTATGGTGAGTGAAAGCCATGATTTGTTTCCTGGGTGAGAGGGAGCTGCCGTGCACTGCCTGGACCAGAGCCTGCCTGCCCAGAGTGGCTAGTGCCTTCCCCGTGCTAAGTCCTGCCGCCAGCACTGGGGACATGGGCCTGGAAGAGTTAACATGGTCAATTGTATGTTATGTGTATTTTGCCGCTGTTTAAACAATTTTCTTTTTAAATTTTTTAATAAGTTGATTGCCACTCCAGTGTTCTGAAGCATGCTCTATATGTCTAAACACTATTAAGGCTAGTGCTGTGTTCACACAGTGTTCCAAGTTCTAAATCGAGACTTAAGAGTCCACAGATATGTACTTTTCACCTGTAGGAAATGCTCTACAGAGAGTATGTTTTCGTACGAGGAGCATTAGTGAGGAAGGTGTGATGCTGAGGGCTGAAATGGCTCACATGCGTGGTGGCTGTCCCTTCTGAGCCGGGGAGGCCAAGCATTTCAAGGGACGTGATGCAGGCCCATGAGAGACTGCCGTATAGAGGGACAGGCACCTGTATTTGACCAGGAGTTGGCAAATTTTTTCTGTAAAGAGTCAGATGGTTGACTTTTTTAGTCTTTGCAGGCCATGTGTGGTCTGTATCAAATATTCTTCCTCTTTTTTTTTTCCTAACAAAGCTTGAAACATGTAAAAAGCATTCTTACGTCAAGGACCATCTAAACACAGGCCATAAGACCCTTACCACCATATAAGCAAAGCCAGGTGGGGCGGGGCCTCTGGAAACAGGTGGAGATTCAGTTTGTTTTGTCCTGTTTGTTTCTCAGGAGACCATCGGGATGCATCTCAACACAACCATAGCAAAATAGAGGTGAGTCCTTAAAAAATTGTTTGGGAGGCCAGGGAAGTCGAGGTGTCAGCAGGGCCATGCTTCCTCTGAAGTTTCCAAGGAAGAACCCTTTCTGGCCTGTTCCTCGCCTCTGGTGGTTGCCCACAGTCCTTGATGGTCTTGACTTGTAGACACAGAGCTCTAATCTCTGTCTCTGTTGTCGCCGTGTGTCTGTGTGTGTGTCATCATTTCCCTCTTCTTATAAAGACACCAATCGTTGGATGGGACCCACCCTAATCCAGTAGGGTCTCAGTATACCTTGATTACCTCCACAAAGATGCTATTGTCTTTTTTTTTTTTTGAGTCGGAGTCTCACTCTGTCGCCCAGACTGGAGTGCAGTGGCCGCTCCCGGCCACCGCAGCCTCGACCTGCTGGGCTCCGGCGATCCTTCCGCCTCAGCCTTCCAAGTTGCTGGAACAACAGGCGCACGCTACCACACCCGGCTAGTTTTTTGATTTATTGTAGAGACGAGGTCTCACCAAGTTGCCCAGGCGGGTCTTGAACCCACGGGCTCAGGCAATCCACTTACCTCAGCCTCCCAAAGGCACGGGATTACAGGCTGAGCCACCGAGCCCGGCTTTTGCTGTTTTCAAATAAGGTCACATTTATCCATACCAAGGGTTAGAACCTCAATGAATCTTTTAGGAGGACACAGCTCGACCCACCACCACAAAGTGTCTTTTTTGTTTTAAGACAGGTGTGAGTCTCTTGACACTTAAGAACGTGCTAAAATCTTGGCCCAGAACGATTGTGTGTAGAATGTACTAAAATCCTAAAGTGATGTCTGCATACTTAAAAGCGTGGCTTTGAAGAAAAATCATGCCGTGTTAACACAGAAATGTTTTTGTTTTGTTTTGTTTTTGTTTGTTTGTTTTTTGTGTGGAGTGGATGGAGCAAGCTCCAATTGCAACTATTTTGTTTTCTCCATGTCTTTCAGCAAGTTGATTTTAGCTGGAATGGACTTGCTGACGGGAAGCTTGCATTTTATGACCATTTTCTCATTGAGCAAATCCAGTCAGGGAAGGAACCGGAAATACGGCAGTTCTTCTTCTTGCTTGCAGTTTGCCACACGGTCATGGTGGATAGAACTGATGGTGAGTGTTTCTCTGGCATCTCGGGCATTGGAGAGCAGTTTTTTAGTTTCCGGGTAACACATGCTTTTGACTCAGACACATATTAAGTAGCACCTTAATATGATAAGTCACATGATAAGTCACATTCATGTAAATATTTGTCAGCACCTACCACCAGATGGTTCATGAAATAGCAAAGTAGGCAACGCACTTCTAGTCTCTGAAGAGTTGCATCTCATTCATAGTTATGGTTCCAGATGTGTTCTATCACTTTGTAAATGAAATCCTACTAATGCGAATGACTGACTCTTCAATACTGAGAGATGAATCAAAAGAATCCCACATTATTAGTAGTAGTATTTTTATTATTAGACTCAACCTCTCAGTCTGATGCCAGGCTAAAGTGCAGTGGCACGACGGTGGCTCACTAGAACCTCAAACTCCTGGACTCAAGCAATCCTTCCACTTTAGCCTCTCAAGTCTCTGGGACAGCAGGTGTGCACCACCATGCCTGGCTCATTTTTGAATTTTTTGTGGAAACGAGATCTCACTATGTTGCCCAGGCTGGTCTCAAACTCCTGGGCTCAAGCAACCTTTTGTCTCAGCCCCTCAAAGTACTGGGATTACAGACGTGAGTGGCCACCATATCATTAGCATTTATTGAGAGTGCAAAGTCAAGCCAACCTGTATCAGAAGTGGACTTTAAACTTGGGCAGTCTCTTCTACGAAATAATTTCAGACATATCCTTTTATTTACTAGATTCTGATATATTTTGGGTTTGAAATAATATCACCCAAAGCCTGGATCTCTTTAAGGTGGCTTTTTTGTTTGAAGGAACATAATGTGAATTCATGGGAACAAGCCAGGCTGACTTCTCGTTTGCAGAACTTTTCAATGCGATTTGTGATAGCAAGTTTGTCCGGTGTGGAGGAAAGCTAGTCATTTGGGCGCATTTGAATGTAATGACAAATTATGTAAATATACGTGTACTTTAGAGAAAAAACAAAGGAAATTCTTTTAGCATAATCTGCCCTCACTTCATCCATTCATTCACTTCACTCCATTCCCCTCTTTTTACATCAATCAATGCAGCATACAAAGGTTGTCCCTCTTTGTTCCCAGTCTTGATGTTTCATATGTGGTAGGTGTTAAATCTACTGAGAAGGAATATGCATAAAAACTAGATGTGCAGAAGCCATACATATCTTTCAGCAAGCTTCAAAGAAATCCATTCTCCAAGGATGACTCTAATAGTGCAATAAACCAAGATAGCAGAGTTCAGATTGGGGTAGGTACATGGAAGGGACCGTCAGCAGACAATGTGGGAAAGGATAGACAGGGACGATACCAGGTCACCAGTCACCAAGACAGGGGCCAAAGTCTGTTGGACTTGCCAAGCAAATGTCAATCACGTAATAAGGATAAAGTTCGATATGATTAAGCAAACTGGCTCCTTTAAATTTTGACCCAGTAAAATTATTCTACTTTTTCTCAGTATGTGATGATATCTTAAGAGCTAGCCGGCCAACTTAGGCAAATGTGCATTAATGCTATGGTCTCTGTTTTATCTGCTCCCCCTGGGAGGTTAGGGGAAGAGCCCTGGACCATGTGCTGAGTCAGCCAAGTCTGGGGTCTCTGTCTGAGCACGGTTTCTCAGTGGTGTAGGAAGGAGTTTGGATGTTCAAAGCCCCTTCTAGCCTGTACTATGCTTCATGACAGACATACCAAAAGAATTCCTTTCGCTTTTCTTATTTTTTATTTTTTGAGAGGTCTCACTCTGTCGCCCATGCTGGAGTACAGTGGAATGATCACAGCTCACCACAGCCTCAACCTTCTGGGCTCAGGGAATCCTTCTGCCTCAGCTTCCCAAATAGCTGGGACTACAGGTGTGTACCACCACCCCTGACCTTTTTTTTTTTAATGTAGAAATGAGGTCTCACTGTTGGCCAGGCTGGTCTTGAACTCCTGGGCTCGAGTGAGTCTCCCTCCTTGGCTACCCAAAGTGCTAGAATTACAGGCGTGAGCCACTGCACCCAGCCCTTTTTGCTCTTTCTATAAAGCACATGTATATTTATATAACTTATCATTGTGTCCCTATATGATAAAATGATAAAGTGTTCAAAGTCCTTTCCAGCCTAACATTCTGTGGCTCTTTTCCCCACTGTCAGCTGAGGCAAAGAGTTGGCCATCCTGGGGAATCTTCTTTCACCCAGGGTATGATAGGAGATTGTGCTAGCTGTTGAGAATGGAAACAGTTTAGATTTCCAAATGCAGGAAGTGAGAGGAGAAATTGGATATGGCTTTGATCCATAAAGTACCATGAAAGGAGCCTTGGGGACCACACCTCCAGATTTTTTTTTTTTTTTTGAGTTGGAGTCTCGTTCTGTTGCCCAGGCTGGATTGCAGTAGCATGCTCCTGGCCACCGCAGCCTCGACCTGCTGGGCTCAGGTGATCCTTCCATCTCAACCTTCCAAGTAGCTGGAACTACAGGCTGGAACTACAGGCATGTACCACCACGCCTGGCTAATTTTTTGATTTATTGTAGAGACAAGGTCTTGCTAAGTTGCCCAGGCTGGTTTCCAACCTGTGGGCTCAGGCAATCCTTTCACCTCAGCCCAGATTTTATAGATAAGGAAATTCAGACACCAGAAAGCACGAGGGACCTGCCCGAGGTCATTCAGGGGGTTAAAACTCGTTCTAGTCCAGTCCTCCCTCCACTCTGCCACACTGCCCCCGTGCTCTTGCATTCTGATTTTCTCAACAAGGTGAAGTGAGATAATGGGAGGCCCAAACTTCATCTGTACAGTGGCCTAATACACCTAATCCCGAACTGTACCTCACATCTTTGAAATGAAATGAAATGAAATGAAAGAAAAACTACCCACTGGATACCATGCTCATCACCTGGGTGACAGGCTCAGTAGAAGTCCAAACCTCACCATCATGCAATTCACCTATATTAAACCTACACATGTGGCTAGGTTCGGTGGCTCAGCCTGTAATCCCAGCACTTTGGGAGGCTGAGGTGAGTGGATTGCCTGAGCCCGCGGGTTCGAGACCCACCTGGGCAACTTGGTGAGACCTCATCTCTACAATAAATCAAAAAGTGAGCTGGGCATGGTAGCGCACGCCTGTGGTTCTGGCTGCTTGGAAGGCTGAGGCGGAAGGGTCGCCGGAGCCCAGCAGGTCGAGGCCGCAGTGGCCGGGAGTGTGCCACTGAGCTCCAGTCTGGGCGACAGACTGAGACTCCAACTCAAAACAAACAAACAAACAAACAAAAAAACTTCCACATGTTCCCCTTGAATCTAAACAATAAAAAAAGAAAAAGAAAAAACAGAGGTTGGCTAGTCTTTTATTATGCCTAGCATCAAGAGCAGAGAGGAAATCCTTTCCTATAAGTTGCCGTCAGAACTCTTTTTTTTATGACACACTAGAAAGACCTTGTTTTCTTTTACAGACTAATCTGTGGATCACGAAACTGATACAAACAAAAAAAGATGCTCAAACTACAAATTCCATCTCTTATTTCTCAGTATCTTCATTTCCTAGCTTCTTCTGGCTGATGGTAGCACCTTGGGTCTTCCGGTCACCAGTCCTGAAACAAGTTACCTTTCAAAGTCTCTTCCCCCTCAGTATTCTCTCACCACTTCCAATCATTTGCCAAACGTCTGCCACATCCACAATTTTCTTATGCCTCCCAAAGACCCCACGCTAATCCAGGTCCTCAGCCTCTGCACCAACCTTCAATGTCTGTCTCCCCGCTCCAGGCTGTCACCCCAAAGTGGTGCTCAAAACTCCTAAAACAAGCTCTCTGATCATTGATGAAAGACATCCAGGTGACATAAAGGCTTCCAAACCTTCCACTCTCTGCACTCATATGGCCTCTGTGGAGGCAGAAGTCTAAGATGACCTCAAGGTTTCTACCCCAGTGATGTACTTTCACCTTCTCCCAGTTATTCAGTCAAGCACTAATCAAAGTTCAGCTGTGAAGGGATTGTGCAGATACAATTAAGGCTGTAATCAGTTGACCTTATAGTAGTAAGATTATTCCGGTATTCCTGACCTAATTAATTAGATGAGCCCTTACAAGGGACAGGGCTCTTCCTGGAAAGAGATTCAGAGCATGAAAGAGGTTCAGTTTGAGAAAGATTATCCACTGCTGGCTTTGAGGTTGGAGGGGACCAACTGGCAAGGAATGAAGAGCAACCCCCCGACAGTAATGTGAACCTCAGTCCTACAACCACAGAGAACTGACTCCTGCTATAACCACGTGAGCTTGGAAGACGACTCCGAGCTCCAGATGAGAACATGACCTGACCTTGATTTTAGTGAGATGCTGAGCAGAGAACCCAGTCATGCTACACTCAGACTTTTGACATACAGAACGCTGAGCTCATGAACAGGTGTTTTCAGTGGATGAATCGCACTAATTCAATACGGAGTAATAGAAAATTAACGCAGCTTTTCCATACTCAGCTTCGACATGCACTCAATGCTCAGGCTGCACCATATCTAAGTTTTGTTTAAAAGATGTTTATTTTTTTAATCTAAGTTTCTTCCTGCAAACTAAGTTTGCAGTTTGGACCAAACCTAGAGGTTCTTCCCATCTCTATTGGTCTGCGATTCTGTGGTTTTATTACCAGAAAGTAATAGGAAAATTTCCTTTTTTCTTTCATGACAAAAATATCCAGGTGTTTGCTCTAGACATGATTGTATGTGTCATGGGAACACTACCACCTTTTATTGTTTCTTTTCTGTGTTGGAAATGCCAATATTATGCCAAATATCACTGTGCCAGCTAAAACTGCTGAAGGAAAGGGTTTTGTTCTCACCGATGCTTGTTTACCTCTGGCTAAATAGTTTGCCCCCTCCCGGCATTTGTGTATGTTTGTAGGATGGCCGGGTTTAGCGAGTGCGTTTATAGCTTCTGGTGTGTGACTTTCTGGGTGAGTGACTAGAGAGAGAAACTGAAGTGTCATCTTTAATTACTAACTGGGAAATAATTAATACAGACTTAATTAGAGTGAATCATCTGAGCCAGTATGCAAAGCAAAGAGGGAAGGAGGGGGCGTTTAGCTCTGAAACCGGTCACCCTGGAGCATCCTACCTTTCCAAGTAGACTGAGGTGTAAAAAGCTGTCCATGCATCCCCGGCCTTCGTGCTGGTCAAACCATGCTGGAAAACTAAATGCCCTTTTTTGTAAACATTCATCTAGCCATGGAAATGCTTTTCTTTCTATTTTGAGACTGAATAAATAGAGTAGGAAAATAGAAGACCTTAGGTAGGCACAGTAATTTTTTCAACATTTTATTGACGTACAACGTGTGTACAGAGACACGTGCATATCATTTAAGTGTATAGCTCAATAAATTTTCACAAACTGAATACCTCCCATAATGAGTATTCAGATTATTAAAAAGAACATTATCAATCTCTCAGAAGTCCCTTGTGTGTTTTTCCCTTTCAGTAATTACTTCTCCAAGAAAACTACTCCCCTGACTTTGAATGACATGGGCTAGCTTTGTCAGTTTTTTTAGTTTCTCTGAGTAGAATCATATAGAGGACATACTGCTTTGTGTTGTCTGGCTGCTTTCACTCAACATTGTGAGACTTATTATTGAAGCATAGTTTTGTATAGAAAGACAGTTTTCCACTATTTAACTGTTCAACCTTAGCTATTGGTCACATTTCCCTTTTATTTTTTTTTTAGAAGACCATAGGTATGGTGAAGTAAACACAGTCTCCTAGAGGAAAGATAAACTGGTATAATCATTTTGGGAAACAAATTAGTAATATATATCAATGAGCTTAAAAATATTGTATTTTTTAGGCTTAGTATTTTCACTGCTAGAAATCTGTTCTTAAAAAATAGGGGCAGACATTCTCTCTCCCCCCCCCGACACACACACACACACACACACACACACACACACACACACACACACACACACACAC